TATGATAGTTAATGGGTACCTGTAAAACCAGTCATTTCTCCTCAACTAGCACTGAGGTCTACCCATAGCCTGAGTCAAGGGAGCGCACTACCTGTGCATACCCAATACCACTTTCTACTTTGGCTGAGACACAGAAGAGAGATCAGAACTGATATACATAAGTTTAATATCAGGTTAAGAAGCAGAGTTCTGAAGGCTGAGCATACTGTCTTTTACAAAGGCAATCCCAGCTACTAAGGAGCTAGAGATGAAGAAGTCTGCCTGGGCAGAAAGCTAGCAAAACAAAAAAGCTGGACATTGGGTCCATACCTGTAATTCCATTTATGCAAGAGATGAGGCTGGACCTAGACAAAAAACGTAATGTACTAATTGAAAAACAATTAAGTCAAAAATGACTTAGTGGTATGGCACAAGAGCAAAGATGAAAGCCTAGCACGGGTGAGGCTCTAAGTTTACAGCAAGTACCAACTCCCCCACCCTACCCCCGCAAAAAACCATGGTTAGGCTCTCAAGTGGCTGGGTTGCTAGAAAACTCTCTATAATCTCTATGTCTCCCTGTCTTAGAGTCCTTATTGCCTACCTCCGTGTCTACCCATCAGCTAAGCACTCACATTTCTCCATTTTGGGCATGAGACATAATAACACTGAGAACCCAGGTCTCAACAGCTCAGCAATCAGTTAGCCTTGCACTCAGCTCCATTTTGACCACGTGACTTAAGTTGATAACAGATTCCTTTCCCAACTCCTATAATGAGTTCCATGGCCCAATTCACTGGCTCTGACTGGAATCTAGTTCTTCCGAGAGCATCAAGCATCACTGGAGACTATTCGAAATGCAATAATTAGTGCTCCCTCCCATGCCATTGACACAATTAGAATCTGCACAGAATCATTACTAACAAAATCCTCAGAAGACCCTCATTCTAGATGACAAAGGCCAACATCCAAGTGAGACTGGCAGCCAGAGTAATGGGGCCTCCTGATTGGATTCTTTCCAGCCTGCTTTATCTCAACCTTCCACCAGCACAGAGAAGCATTCTGAAGCCCAGTCTGTTCATTCTTAAGACTCCAGCACAGCATCTAGGATCTTCAGGATCCTAGATCCAGGAATGGCTCAGCTTTGGCCAGCCTCGTCTCCCATCAAACACCTGCTTCCCACTCAATGCTCCAGACCTGTGGTTCCCAGAAAGCAGTACTTAGCAAGGCCTGGACTTTTATTAAGGCAAGTCTGACTTGTATACTAATATCTTTCAAATAGTATCTGAGAGAATACCAGAAAACAACACTGAAAAGCCTAAGTATCACAAATAAATGGTTCTGGGAAATAGGGCGAAGGAACAAAGAGAATGTTTTATTTTCTTTCCTCACTTTTCTATTTGCATTCATTTTTCCCCCTCTTCTCCATGTATTGATTTTGCAATCTAGGAGAAAGCTAGGCTGGTTTAGACACTGGAGAGACGTGTAGCTGGTTTCAACTGCTACCATATTTTAAACGCTATAACTGACTTCAGAGTATGTTCATGTACCTTTGACAGGATTAAATTGATATTGTGGGAAACTTGCTGAATAATTCATATGGTTTCAACAGTAAAATCTTTGAAAAGTCAAACACATCCCTCACAGCTCCTTAAACATGTCATTAAAAACATTATTGTTCTTTTAACATGTAATCATTTTCATTTTTCAAAATTAGCCTTAGATTCTGAACTAGGAGATTCTAAGTTTAAACAAAATTTGTGGTTCTAAATCAAGTCCTTAACTAGTGTGGCTCACTAGTGATGCCCTTACTTAGTATGGAATCATCATACGATGATTCATTGTTAGGAGCTGCTCTTAACTAGTATGTAATCATCCTATGATGAGTCTTACCTAGTATGTAATCATCATACAATGATGGTTAGCCTCTAGGACCTGCTCTTACCTAGTATGGAATTATCATATGATGACCTTTAGTTACTAGGACCTGCATCACATGCAACTGAAGTCTACATGCCAAACTCAAGGCAGTATACTGGTCCTGTTTAGACCTTACCAAGTGAGAATTAACTAACCTACCATTGCATTCCATACACACACGCACGTGCGCACACACACACACACACACACACACACACACACACACACACAGAGTTTGCTACAATTGAACTTTCCAAAACCCTAATTTAAATTTTAACTTGCAAAATTATATAATCACAACTAAAATGAAAAAGTAGTATCTATTTTTTAATACCAACCATTTAAATAATGACCATTCTGAATTCATTATTCCATGCTGAAAAACTATTAACAAGAAAACTTACATTTAGAAGCTTGCTCATTTTATATCCCACTATTTTCCATTCTTACCTGAACACTTAGATGTAAGATCACTGATTCATTTGCTTAAAATGATTTAAAACTTCTACTATTTATAATACAGTTGCTCCCAAAGTTTTTAAGGGACAAAAAATAAAAAATGGTTAAGAAGTAGAATTTTTAAATAATTAGGGCACCATTAGGGGCAATTAAAAAAAAAAAGTATGACCACGGTACTCAAATCCAGACTTGATCAGATGCCAAGTAACTTTAGATACTGATTTCCTGTTTCCAAACTGAATGTAATGACTTTCCTCAATTCCTTCCCACAAAATCTCCCATTTGGGAGAGTTTTACATTTTAGCTAGGTTTTTAAGGGTGTGTGTGTGTGTCTGTGTGTGTGTGTGTGTCTGTGTGTTTGTGTCATATACTGTTGCAAATTTTTATTTCTTTTTTTTTTTTTTTTGCCGGTCATGGGGCCTGAACTCTGGGTCTGGGCGCTGTGGTAGGCTAGCGCTCTACCACTGGAGCCACAGCGCCACTTGCAGCTTTTTCTGTTTATGTGGTGCTGAGGAATCGAACCCAGGGCCTCATGCTTGCAAGGCATGCACTCTACCGCTGAGCTACCTTCCCAGCCCAAATTTTTATTTCTTTAAAGCTTAACACTCAATTCTTATAGTTTGGACTTTAACTATACCTTTTATACATTCTCATCAGAAGATTTTATTTTTTATAAGTAGATTTTAGATTAAAGAAAGTGAAATAAGCATAGTAAAATATGCACAACATCACTTATCAATAGGAATTTCAAATCAAAACTATAATGGAACACCATCTTTAATTCATTAAGTTTACTACTACCAAAAAACAAAACAAAACACAAAACACAAAAAATAAGTCTTGCAGAAAATGTGTGGACTGGGAAAGTAGCTAAGTGGTAGAGTAGTTGTCTAGCATGCATGAAGCTCTGGGTTCGATTTCTCAGTACCACATAAATGGAAAAGGCCGGAAGTGTTAAGAGTGCTAGACTTGAGCTTCTAAAAGAAGCTCAGGGACAGTGTCCCCTGAGTTCAAGCTCAGGAAGGGCAAAAACAGAAAAGAAAATGTAAAGATATTGGCACACTGCTGTATACTATTAACAAGAATTTTTAAATGGTAAAGCCATTGCAACAAACAATATAGTAGTTCCTTAAAAGTTTTTAAATAAACCACAGGCTCATGCTATTCATCAGGCTAAAACAGGATGACTGTGGTTTCAGGGCAATTTAGGCAAAAAAGTACATGAGGTCCCATCTCTAGAGCAAAAAAACTGGGCATGGGGGCACACGCCTATCATCCCAGATACAGGAGGAAACGTAAATAGGAAGACTGTGGTCCAGGCCAGCCAGGGCAAAAAGCAAGCTCTTATCTCAAAAATAGTTGGTTCATTGTATATACATTTTTCTAATTTGGGGAGGGGAAGGGAAATAACAAAATGCTGAAATAAGGATACAGGTTGACTCAATGTAACAATGAGATGTACAAGACACTATGCTGAAAACAAACTTTACAACTTTGGGGAGAGGGAAGGGAGGGAGGAGTTGGGGAGATAGGAAGGGAAGGGATGGTAGGGGAAAAGCAGAAGAGGGGGTAACAATGCCTGATAGGAAATGTACTCATTACCTCACTCACATAACTGTAACCCCTCTGTACAATATCTTTACAATAAAAATATATATTTAATAAAACTGGTTCAAAAGGATTGAAGACAGCTAGAGCAGTAGAATGTCTGCCTGAGCAAGCATGAAGCCCTGAGTTCAATCCTTAGTAGCATAAAAATGGGGGAAAAAATTCAGAGAATTACCAAATGATCTAGCAATTTTATTTCTGGGATTATACTCAAAAGAATTAAGAGCAAAGTTTCACTCTAAACAAATATTTGACAACCATGTTTATAGCAGCATAATACATAATAACTAAAATGATAGAGGCAATAAAAATGTTCATCAGGAGATGAATGGGTAATGCAATATACTCTTCAGTCTTAGAAAAGAATACAATCTGGAATACACTATTACAAAAACACCACTCCAATAGTAATAATAATAATGTTATATGATTGTAATTACATTAGACACTTAACATGGTCAAAACCACAGAGACAGACAGTAGACTTGATGGATAGGTAGATGTAATTTAATGGGCCTACAGTTTCAATTTTACAGTTACCAGGTATAAGGGTATATGCTTAAAACCCCAACACTTAGGAGGCAGAGGCAGGAGGGTTTGGAGTCTGAGGCCAGCCTGGGCTACCTATTGAGTTCAAGGCTAGCCTGGGCTACATAAGCAAGATCCTGTCTCAAACAAACAAAATAGAGCATAAATAGTTAGAGATGGATGGTGGTGATGGTTGTACAGCATTACAGACACCATTACTATATCTGAATTGCACACTTACAATGGCTAGGACAGTAAATTTTGTTAGGTTATTCTACAATTAAATAAGTTACTGGAAAAGAGACAAGCAAATGCTTTTATAAGAACACAGAAAATCCACATTGATTCCTGAATATAAAGCAAATATTTTATATTTCATGTATAAAGTCCATCTCAGACGGTAGTAGAAGATAAAACTAATAAAACTAATCAACACTCTTAAGAACCACAGGCATACTTCATTTCAAAAGGTCAAGATGGTAAGTAACCAGAACCAATAGACAAGGTACCTGAATAAATGAAGCGTAGAATGTCTGATAAACAAGAACAGAAGAGGGCATCTTTAACAATGACTCGTAATGGTGGGTTGCCTGAAGATTCCTGGCTAGCACCTGCAAATGCGGTATCTCTGTTTATAGCAAATAGATCCTGGGTAGTTCGGATGATACTCGAGTCCTGAATCTCAGTGGGACTCTTCACATTGAAAAGCAGCATGAAAACATGGCTTACAGCGCAGAGAACAATCTTGTGGGCCTCTACAACTTCCTTTACATCTGGGTGGTAAAATACCACGTCCACACACTGGCAGCAGAACAGCAGGTTATTTAAGTCAGAGTTGTAATGCGATGCTTCGGCCTTTAAGACAGGCATTTTTTCTGTTTCAGAAAATAAAAAGAATAAACTATAAATGTAATCACTTCAGCTTTAATTTAAATATAACACCATAGTTTTAATAGTATTAGCTCAAGCCATAAGAAAATGCCAATATTAGCTCATTATTTTTAACCTACAAAAACAGCAATTTTGAGGAGCTTAACCTAACAAGATGGAAACATCTAAAGTCCTTTACCTCCTGGGACTGAAAGTGGAGGTCAAGGGCTATGCTGATGATATTTTAGTGTGACTTCTCAATGTCAGAGAAGTAACATTTCTTCACCTTTCTACTTCTTCATAAATTGTAACTACTCACGACACCTCTGGGTACTTACCCAAAGGTCTGAAACCACCTCATCCAGTTTGTTTGGGACCTAGCTTTTTTCATTCAATTAAAAAATATACTTCACATGACAGTAATGTCAACTCAGCACACCTCATCAACAGTGTTGACTAAGAAGATTTACTAGTTTATCACTAACAAAGAAATGAGTCCTCCATCAGTCCAGAATATACACCCCCAACACACACATACATTTCCTTATAAGACATCCCAACTATGTCTACCTTCTCACTTTTTTGCAAAGCTGAACTAGATCTATCTATGAAGGTTTGCTGGAGAGATGTGCAGTGGTCTAAATCAATGGAATTCAAGCTATTGGAAAAAAAAATGTTAAAAATCCTTTACTCTCAAGCAGAGTAAAACAGTTAACAAGGTGTTTTGGGGTCTGACCACTCTCTGCACTGTACCCCTCCCATCCACCCTTTAATTACCTGTAGCTCCTTCATAGGACCTAAGTGCTGGGACAAGTCTGAAAGTCACATACCCTGGAGCCAAGGATTTGTCTTTAAAGCAACTGAGCCCCAGAGCCATACTCCTGACTGTGTCATGTGGATCCTGAGTGTTGTTTATTGCCATGCTCAGGCCTCTCTTTAACTGAAGAGAGCAAGAAATAACCTTGGGAAAGTGGAGACTGCATTTATAACTTCAGAATACATTTATGACCTATAAAAATCAAAGGAGTAACTAAACATGCTTGCTAAAGAGACACTTTTGAGGGGCCCTGTTTACTGAACCAATGAGTGCTACCAGATGAAGATTCACGGAAGAAATGTCTTTTAGTGCTAAAGGATATAGGATGGGCTTCACTTTCTCTGAGGAACTAGTATGTTTTCTCTCCTCGATCAATAAGAACTAACAACCAGTACATTACATTACATCTACATTATTGATCTGGCCATTTCCTCCCATCTTCTAATCCAGGAAGTATTTAAAGCCCCAGAGTTTACTACTAAATCCCTCTTTGTACTCTGCATCCTGAAAGCTCAAAGTCAAATGTGGGTCATTTATGGATTATGTTGCTTACATTTTTTAAACTTGGAAATTATCTTCCATTCTAACCTGTATTTTCCTGATTTTTATCTATATCTACTCATTTCACAAATATTTTTCAAATACCACTTTTGAATTTTTTCTTTTTCATTAGCACTAAGAATTTTACATATTGATGAGGGTATTGTATAGTTATCTAAAACATGCACACAATGTATAATGATTAAACTAGGGGACTTAGCATTTCTATCTACATATTGCTTTATATTTGAGGCCGTCTAATGCTTCATTTCCATTTCTTTATAAAACATGTAATACATTCTTGTAAATGATAGCCCACCTACTATGCTACCAAGTGCCAAATTCTTCAAACAATATCAAAATCAATAGAGACATATTTTATTTCATCATAAAATTATATAAAAGTTCTAATAACAGTTACAGTAATTAAATTGAATAAATTGCTTTCCTTTGAGAAATACAAAGCTTTGAATTCAGGGTCTGACTCTTGCCCATGTACTCTCATTTGAGCCACCCCCCCAACCCAAATAACTTAATCTTTTAAACCTCTCTTAACATTGTGAAACATCAAAAACAGTTAAAATTCTGATGCAGTGAACACACTTAAGATTCAGTAATTATTAACTTTCAACTTTTTTTTTGCCTTATCTCTAGATAGAAAGTCAAACAGACACATGCACATGGTTGAACCACTTACATATAAGTTGTAGCCACTGGGACACTTTGGCTCTAAAATGTTTTCCAATTCATCTCTCAAAACTAAAAACCTTCTCTTCTAATCACAGTGCCATCATCACAGGAAAATTAACTAAATCCTATAATATTGTCTAATGTCCAGTCCATACTAAAATGTTGCCCAAATGAATTGTCTTTTTAGGGTTTTCATTGAACTAGTATTTGCTGTAAGGTTCACACATAGCATTTATTTTATAACTAGAACAGCTCCCCTTTACCACTTTCTATTTTTAAAAATCTACCGGATCAAATTTAACACAGTCTTCCTTAAACTGTGGGTTGCATATCACCTGCTTCAGCATTACCTGAGAAGTTTGTGAGCTCAGTGCCAAGTTCATCGAACCAGAGATTCACACAAAAGCCCCAAACACGTTTAGATTTGAGAATCACTGCTCCAAACCTTGAGGAATTATTTATATGTTATATTATATATAACTAATTATATATTTCTTTTATGTGTTACATATAACTATGTGCTTTTGTATTATATCTTTTATATATAACTACTAAACGTCTGCATACCTGGTTGCTCAAGCTGGGGTGGTCTAATTCCATGAAATGAGCCATTCATCTTCCTTTTCTTCATTTTTTCACTGGTCTTCTGGTTTAAGGCTTGAATCATAAAATACTCCAACTAAAACATGCATCAAATTGGAATTAAAAATCCAAAAGAATTGTTCCTCTGATATGTTTGTATCCTAAATCACATTTGCTAAAATTTTTATATAGTCCATGCATTAACATTTTTTACTAAAAAAATATCTAGAGCAATAGATGATACCTTGCTGCACATTAATAAACTTCCCCTATTTAATAAAGTTTTCCTTTCTTTTCCTTTTTTTATTTTTAAGTGGTACTGGGGATTATACTAAGGCCTCAAAGATTGTTAAGCAAGTATTCTATCATCTGAGTTACATACCAGTTTTTTGGGTTATTTTATTTTTCAGAGAGTCTCATACTTTGTCTGGGCCAGACTCAGACAACAGCCCCCGCCTTTAGAAGGGTTGAAATTACAGTCATGTACCACCACATTTGACTAGGTTGTGTTTTGTTGTTGTTACTGTTTTGTTGTTAAGACAACAGTTTTGTTCTCTTTGCATAGGCTGGTCTCAAACGATGATTCTGTATCTCTACCTCCTGAGTAGCACTGATTATAGGCATAAGCCATCACACCTTTCTAATTTTCTAATTTCTAGTTTGTAGTAACAATTACAACTTGTGGTTACTAATTTTGTTGTCAGTGGACCACCACTGGAGTTAATACTAGTAAAGTACAATGCAAGTGAAAAATCTCTATGTCTACAGATGGTCCTACCATCTAGGCAACTTCAATTTTTTTCCTCTTATCTACATTTCTTTGAAAGTTTTCTTTTACTTTTCAAATTAGAAGTCTCATCCACATGCATTTTTGTAGATCCAAGCAAGGCCAAAAGCAAAAGCATAAAGAGATGTCCACTCACACAAAACAACAACTCAATGTTATAAATCAAGAAAACAAAGCATTACATAAAAGATATCTTATATTCTTGTTTGACAAATGTGTCATCATCCAGTCCTAGACAGTCAAATGTAGATTTTTATTCTCAGATTACTCAGAAGTTTGTGTAGCTCTCAGACACTAAGAGTACCTCTCATTTTCTCACCTCTGATCCATCCCATACCCAGAACAGAACTGTCCCCACAAGTAGACACCCAACCTCTTATCTGTTCTCCATTCGCCCTTCCTCTCCTCTCAGACCTTCAGGTATACACACCAGCAATGCAGTCCGCCTTCAGGACAGACCCCATAAAAGAGGTCTGCACATTCCCTGAAACAGACTCTGGGCCAGTGAGCACAAAATTCTGGAGGCCTAGGTTTGGGGGTACAGCCACAGCTCTGTCCAAGAGAACCTTCTGTTGATAGACATGTTCTATAATAGCTGTTCTGTCCAACAGCAGATGATGCTTATATGCAGACATGTTGCTATAGAACACTGGAAACAGAATGCTTAAGGAACTCAATTTTATTTTATTTCATAGACACATGTAGAAGCTATCACACCAGACAGTGTAGGAATAGGAGAAGGGTAGGCATATGTCCTTGGCTTCATAAACTTGGCCTTGTTGGACAAGGGCCAGATGATGATCTTCAAGGCTCACAGAAGGTATCCCACTTTCCTGGGGCAGAAGGGAGCACTGCATAGCTCTTCATCCCTGACTCTTAAACATACATTTTGAAGCCCTTTCACTCTAGTATCATCTCCATTCATATTCTTTCAAATATCAAGATTTATTACCCTCAAGATCTCAATTGGGCATAAGTGATCAAAAGTCTAGAAAGATGCCATTCGGACTAATTTTGTCAACAAAAACATTCTTTCTCCCAACTTTGACCACATCATCAATCCTTATCATGCTCCCAACTCCCAACCTCACTGCAACATTAGACCTTAGGAAGAAGGAGAAGCAAGGAGAGACAGAAAAAAGAGAATGTGTGAGTGGGAAGGTGGGAATACTGATCCTTAGTTCTCAAGCTTCAGATCTTTGAATGGGGATCCTGAATCCCAAGGCTCACAACAGAATCCAATGTCCTTAGCACAAATGAAACCAAATCCAATCAATAAAACAGCCAATAAATGAAACATGGCCCCTTCCCCTTGCTTATTCCCTGGGTATTTTATAGAAATATTTAATTCGGTTAAGAATTACACATCTTAAAGATATTAAATATAATTCCTGGGTGAATAATAGACACTTATATTTGATACAGAGCAGTCCTGTGATACTTGCTTCTTATTCTAGCCAGCTTAGTTAGCTCCAGAACAAATTATACTTTTAGTACCATCAACATTTCAACATGAATGTACATAATGAATATTGTGGAGTACTGGGAAAAGTGATCAAACACAAGCTAGGACAGTCACAAACAATTCCAGAGTGCTCATGTTTAATGTAGACTTTTCTTTGGTTTGTCACCTGCCATGGCTGATAATCAGAGTTGCCTGTTGAAATGAGGCACCTTTTCCCAAACTTGGTCAGTTCTTAAAATGATACAACTCCACAGCACCCTCCAAGAACCACACAGTCCTAATATTATGTCTAGGTGTATGTGTTAAGATGAGCCTCAAAATGGACCACAAGACAAACTAAAAGCTACTGCCACTGAGCAAGCAATCTCTGGCTGGCATATATCCAACAAGAAACTATTTATATAAGCAGTTCCCAGAATATGATTAAACTACAACAATTTTAGTATGTGCAACCTTGCTGAAGCAAACAGAAGGAAGAAAACCATTCTTTTTGAGTAGTTGAAAAAACAAGAACTTTCAGGTCCAACTGCCTCAGGTAGTCATGTTCACTCAGCTGCACCATGATTACTATCAGCCCAAACAGGAAAATATGCTTTTGATTATATACAATGAACAAATGAAAAGTATCTTAAGAGATAACAGAAAATGTTTCATTTAAATAGAAAAATGTATAACTTTCCTCTATCAAGCTGTTGCTATTGACTTTCATTTTATTTCTCAAAGTTAAAGACTAATCAGGCTTTAAAAGTAAAGCTTTCAGAAAACAGCCAAGGAATCAATCTGACAAATGGCTTAATATGTAACAGAAATTTCCACATACCACTCCTCCAAAATATTTTCCTATGTAGAAGTCATCAAGGCTGTGTAATTCAAGATAAGTAGCTCCCAGTTCTTTAGCAAGTTGAATTCCTTCTGTTGTACTAACACAGCTCCCACGGTCTGAGGTACATAGTGGGCATGTACAAGGTAATTCTTCTGAGAAAATAAATTCAAAAACAAAGAGCTTTGAAATTAAACAAGTACATATAGGCCATCTGAACATTGAACAAAGATTAAGAGCTTAAATTAGTAGCACTAGCCACTGTATGCTCAACAAAGTATCAGGAATAAAAAACAAGCATTAACTACAAGGGAAATAAACAGATTATTAGAAAGCAGAAGAATGTAAAAACAGGCAGTGGGTATTACTAAACCTAGTATAGTAATAGACTAACCCTGCCAGAACAGCAGACATGCTCTTTCATATAACCTTGACAATCTGAACTTCAATGTTCTAGGCCAGTAGAAAAGAATTCAAAGTTGAATTCCCCATAAATCCATGAAAAACAGCAGGGTAGATTTTCTTTGTAATGAACTTTAAGTATATATCTATATTCACCAAACATGAATAAGCTTTATACTTTCATTTTAATGGAATCCTCAATCTAACCTCATGTTCAAGGCAACAAACTCCTACTTTGTAGATTTTGTACAAAGTACATTTTTATTAGTTCAGACATGTAAATGATTTGACTCCAAAATATTCCAACTTTAGAGACCAAATTTGGTCACTTTATCTTTGTCCTTAAGATTAAACATTACCGAAACAATAAGTACCCAAAAAGTAAGCTGTCCCAAGATTGATGTTGTACTATACACATATTTATAGCTGGGAAAGTATAGACCAGCCTATGTATAAGAACACACCCTACTAAGTCTAAAGATACGTCTTCAATTCCATATTTAACACTTTGCTGTTTCACCACCAACATACCAGATGTATCACTGTTCAAAAGGCCAGCAAGTCAAAGAGGGCAAAGTCATCTCTAGAAATGCATGCCCTTACAGGTTGACTTCCCTGAGCAACACAGCTCTGACATGAAGACTGGTGTGCATTAACCTTAATCGGGGAATGGATGATCTTAAGAACAACTCTTAAGATGATCTTAAGAACCGAGATATGAGTCTCGGTTGAAGGAAAATTTGAACTGCAATGCAGCTGATCATAGACTATAGCTCACCCTACAAAGCTCTAAAGCCTAGCAGCTGTTTCAGAGTTGCTCTTCCCTTAAAGGAAGGAAGCAGAACCTCCATACCTTCTTCCTACATGGCTAGGAATTAGACGAGTGCATAATCTTGGGCAACTTCCATCCATGGAGGACAATAAATGTAAGAAAACTGACTGAAAGACACTCAGCTGTTTGCCATCAACTGACAATCCTGGTAATGAAAGGGTTAGTGTCTTTGAAAGAGTATTTGAGTAATTCCTCACAGGTGGCCAAAACTTGTTGCCTAGCTACGCTATATGGATGGAGCACTTACCTGTACATATTGGGGTTTATATTAAGGATGTTTAGTGTATATGCATACTATGTATGCAATCATGTATTATGTATGTGCACACAACATGACTTCTGGGATGCATTTTTAGAGCTCAGAAACTATGGATTCACACCCCTCATTTTTTAAAGAGGTGAAAGTTGCTTTTTAGAGTGGTTACATGGCTTATTCAAGTCTCCTCATTTATGCAAAATGGAGAAACAATAATAAAACTTGTTCTATCTGACAAAGTAACATCAAAAGAGAGAATGAAAATTTAGTTTGAGGGCTGGGAAGATGGCTCAGTGGTAGAGTGCTTGCCTTGCATGTCTGAGGCCCTGAGTTTGATTCCTCAGCACCACATAAGCAAAAAGAAAAAAAGCCAGAAGTGGCGCTGTGGCTAGAGTGCTAGCCTTGAGCTGAAGAGCTGAGGGACAGCGCCCAGGCCCAGAGTTCAGGCCCCACAACTGGACCCCCAAAAAAAAAAGAAAAGAAAATTTAGTTTGAGTAAGGAGTAAGCAATTCTAAAGATGCAATAATTTAAAATTTAAATTTGGCTTCTTTAATTATTCCATAAATTTTAATCTGAGTCTTTCTTTGCTTTTTACTTTTTCCAAAATCCTTTGAGGTTTGGAGCAAAGTTTTCATGAAGAAATTCGTGTGTCATGAAAAACATCACATTAGAGTTTCTCATTTCTCACAAAGCTTTCTTTACAAAGCTTTGATTTTCTGAAGACAGAGGCCTTGTTAAGTCTACAAAAGTCTTCTTATATTGAAGGAATGGGGTGAGTGGGCAGATCATCTTATTAAACTTTATCTCTGGACAAAAATTAAGCTAAGTCAGTGTTTCAAGTGAAAAATCAAGTGAACATAATATCAAATGACTGTTAACAAACAACTGTGCTTTTAGGAATAAGTAAAATTAACTTTAGGTTAAAAATGACTGATTAGGGTTTTTCGCACGGTGTATCCATTTCTCAATGTTACTAAAGACACTTCTTTAATTTTTTTTTTTAGCAGTATTCAAGTTAAACTCATTACCTCACATTTACTAGGCTGGCCTTCAACCACTTGTGATATAATTCAGTCCCACAGAAACTTATCTTTTTGTTTACTTACCAAAAAGGATACGTGTGCACTCCTAATACACAACAATTTGTAGCAATTAGTTGTGTCTGAGTTATTTGCTTTTTATCTGAATTATAAAGTATTATTTTTCAAACCTTCTTCAGAGACTTTTGTTCTAATTACTTATCTTGTAAGTCTCTTCTGAACCACCCTACATTCTTGTGCACATCAAACAGCTACATAAGCAAAGGTTCTAAGTAAAAGTCTACCTTGACTTGATTATACAGAAGAACCAAAACAAAAACGACTCTGTATTTAATAAATTTACACTAAGCATTTTATCAAGATCTGAGGATCCAAAATAAAAGCTGATATCTCCCGGTCATAGTGGATCATGGCTATATTTCTAGTTAACACTGTAGTCCTTTTTCCTTAAGAAAGCAGGAAACAAAGTTAACTCTGGCATTCAAATAAAGGGCAAAAGTTTTCAAAGGAGATTTGGGAAGTTGCAGAGCAATTCTTACAATGTTGCTACTGCACAAAAGTTTTGTAATTCTTTTCAAAACTTCTAGCTCTATCAAAAATTAAAGAAAAACACCTTCAAGGTAGAATGCCCATCTTCAGAAGTTTAAAACATCCTTGAAACATTTTGCAAATAACTTTCCTTTAAATGTAGACCCACTGTTTAGTAAAAGCCAAAAATCTATTTAGAGCTATGATAAAATTATTCACACAAATATAGTTTGCTTATCAAAAATGTGAGTCAAGGCTGGACTACATTACATAGCCTGGAATCCCAGCATGTAGAAGTTGAGGTAGCAAGACCACAATTCTGAGGCCAACCTCAAAAGTTCTGGGTATTCAGAAAGTATGTCAGGCCAGCTTGGTTGCATAGTAAGACTCTGCCTCAAAAACAAAATACTACCTATAGACAGATATAGATAAGTAATACACATACAGACTCAACAAAAGAAATGAAACTGATTATATTTGCTGAATAATTTCTAGAAAGAGTTCCGAGAGAATTATCAGGAGAGCACCCAGTTTGGCTTTATGTATTGTAAGAAATAGGGCAGGAAGGAAGTGTACAATAATGAAGATCCTCAAGTTAAATAGCCAGATTTACATCTGTAATTACCTTTTAATCACATCCTATATGGTAAATTAATTTGAACTTGTTAGTGAAATTGATTCTCTTCACCTAGATTATTCATAAAGCCATTCATTCACTCATTGAACAAATGTTTCTTAAGTACCTACCACACATCAAGCAACAGGGACATAAAGATATAAAGATAAAAGGGACTCACAGTCAACTGAACCAAGATAGACATGACTGCCAACATGAGTAACATAATATAATAAGTACTAAAATAAAGGTACACATAGTTGCCATAGCAACAGAGGCAAGAAAATTAACTCTCTGTAGGGATTATGGAAGGCTTCACAGAAAAGATAATGACTTAACAAATAACTATGAGCTTGCTAGGCAGATATGATAGCAGCTGTATATGAGGCATTCCAGTCATAGGAAATGGCACAGGTAGAGGCCTGGATGTGGGAAAAAAGAAAAGAAACATACTCATTTCCATTTTCAAGATGGCAAACCAAGCCCACACTGCCATCTTCCCTCCTGGCCATACCGTAGAAAGGGTAAAGTGGAGAGGGGAGGAGGTAGGAACGATTGAATAGACCACAACATTAAAAGTAGAGAGGAGATCTCATCAGCCCAGAAACTTAAGAGTTCCTGACAGAATGAGGGCAGATAGTGCAGGACTCAAGCAGAATGAGAAATCCAGGAGACAGGTGAAACCCACACACTGCTCAACAATATGGAAAGCAAAAAGCAGGAGGTCCCAAAGCAACTAACTGAAGATTGGCTGAACAACAAACAAGGAAGCACTGAGGTCCACAGTGTGTGTTGTTCATCTACTTCTACTACAATCCCCAGAGAGCAGCTGGGCAGAAAGAAAAGAAAAGCCAGGCACAAACTTTCCCACCGGGGGAAGTATGTTGCACAAGAATGCAAATTAAGAGTGTCTGAGAAACAGCTATGTCTGAAACAAAACCTCATCAAATGAAAAGATTCAGGGGCTGGGAAGGTGGCTCAGTGGTAGAGCGCTTGCCTTGCATGCATGAGGCCCTGGGTTCGGTTCCTCAGCACCACATAAGCAAAACCAAAAAAGCCGGAAGTGGTGCTGTGGCTCAAGTGGTTGAGCTGAAGAGCAGAGGACAGCACCCAGGCCCAGAGTTCAGGCCCCACGACCAGACCCAAAAGAAAAAAGAAAAGAAAAGAAAAGATTCAGAATACCAACATAAAGCCAGAGTTAAAATTCATCAAAATAGAATTATCAAGTAGAATTAATTATTGAGTTAAAAAATATTATATCCTTAAGACAGGAACAAGAAGTTATGAAAGATCCAGTTAGAAATCTTGGATATGAAAAGATATTGAAACTAAAATTTTAATCAAGCAGAGTGGCAGAACAGACCCAGCAGAACTAATGTATGAGCTAGAACATTAGGAAAAAAAGAAGGCCAAGGACAAACCAACCAAAAGACATAAAGGGATCTCTGTACTCCCAGCACTTGGGAGGCTGAGGTGGGAG